GGTATTGAGGAGGGCGCCTTTTGGGATGAGCACTGGGTGTTTAATGGAAACCAATTTGACAATAAATTTCATATTAAAAATAAAATAAAATAAAAAAAAAGAAAATAAAACATTGTACCACAGTTTCCAATATTTTTCTAAATATAATGCTTGGGATCCAACTAAAAAAAATTATAAAACATATGAATAACCAGGAAAATACAATCCACAATCAAAAGGAAAAATAGAAGAAGTAAATACACTGATGATCCAGATACTGAAAATTAGCAAAGATTTTAAAACTCTGTTACTGATAAAAGAATTTGCAGAAAAATATTGGTAGACAGGTAAAGAGATAGATAATAGCAGGAGAAATATAAAACTCCCTAAAAAATAACCAAAAGATAATCTTAAATGTGAAAATTATGATATTTGAAATAAAAATTTCATTGGATAGAGTTTAACAGCAGATCAGACACCACAGAAAGGATCGGTGAGTTTGAATATAGAATAACATATATTGCCCAAACTGAATCAAAGAAAGAGAAAAAATTGAAATGAATGAACAGAGAGTAACTGCTTACACAGTAACAAGCATTCTAATATATGTGTAATTAGAGTCTCATAAAAAAGGATCAGAGAGGCAGTAAAATATGTAAAGAAATAATGAATGAAAATTTCCAAATTTGATGAAAACATCAACCCACAAACTCAGCTTGATGGACTGCAAATAGAATAAATATACATAAAAAATAATTTTGGACTTTCACTTCTGCTCATCATGGACTAGGCCCATTCCTCTAATCACCCCTCCTACAGTTAAAATCCATAGACAATACAACAAACTAACACAGGCAAATTCTGAAAGGAAGAAAGAGAAAGGCAGAGATCTCAAAACTTGAGGAATACATGAATTCTTTAGGTTTTCTTTTTACCTACATATAAAATGGATGGGACACTGGAAAAGCCTGACTCATGGAACTTCCAATAAGCACAGACTAAAAAAAAAAAAAAAAAAAAGCACAACAACTAAGAAAAGCCAAAGGACTGTAAAAAGGGGGTCTCTAGGGGCGCCTGGGTGGCGCAGTGGGTTAAGCGTCCGACTTCAGCCAGGTCGCGATCTCGCGGTCCGTGAGTTCGAGCCCCGCGTCGGGCTCTGGGCTGATGGCTCAGAGCCTGGAGCCTGTTTCCGATTCTGTGTCTCCCTCTCTCTCTGCCCCTCCCCCATTCATGCTCTGTCTCTCTCTGTCCCAAAAATAAATAAACGTTGAAAAAAAAAAAAAAAAGGGGGGTCTCTAGCATAACCAAAACCTTTTTGACAATGCCTATCCTACTTGAGCCAAACACCAAGAATAAGCTGCACCCACTATCCATGTGTCGATAGGACTAAAAAATAATGTGGCAGTGAAAATTAGCCATCCAATTCCCCCACCAGAGTGATGATGTTGAGACCAACCAGGGAACTGAACTTCCACTCTTGTCTGAAATTAGCAGTCATAATGAGTCAAGGATATCTGCTCTCATCACTATTATTAAATATAATACTTGAAGCCAGAGCCAGCACAAGAGAAGGAAATAAAAAGCATTCAGACTGGATAGAAAGAAGTAAAATTGTCTCTATATGAAGATGACATAATTGTCCATGTAGAAAATCCAAAAAATCTATAGAAAAACTAGAATGAAAAAATACATTGAACAAGGTTGTTTAAGATACAAGATCAACATACAAAAATCAATCATTATTTCTATCTACTACTTACAAAATGTGGAAACTAAAATTTAATACAATGCCATTAAAAAGTGTTCCAAAAAACATGAAATATTAAGGCATAAAATCTAACAAACCATGTACAGGATCTGTATGATGAAAATTACAAAATGGTGATGAAAGAAATCAAACAAGACCGAAACAAATGGAGAGTCATACAATGTTCATGAATTGAAAGACTCAACATAGGTGTTTTATTACATGGAGCCAAACTCAATCCCTAACTAACAAAAATAATTATAAAATAGAAAAATAATACTCTACAAGTATATTAAAGTACAGTTGAATATTATGAAACATGTAAAATAATTCATCTCATCAATAGGTTAAAGGAGAACCACATACTTAATCACCTTAAGAGTTACATAATTTATATATACCAGATATTTGTTAAAATTCAATAAATTCTTGGGTTTTTTTATTTAGCAAAATACAAATAGAAGGACACTTTCTTAACATGATAAAGAATATACATCTAAAACCAACAAGTAACCAAATGTTTAAGAATTAAACAGAACAGGCACTAGCAATAAAAATACGTTTAAAATACAGATAGGTCTTAATTAAACTTTAAGATAAGTGTTAGCAGAGGATAGAAAAATCAATACTCTACTTTCAAGTTCCCTAACCAGGTCATTTTCATGGATGGGAATTCATTCTGAGAACATAAATGGACTCCAAAAGAAAATCTTAACCCTTTTCAGTGTTAAATGTTTCTACATTAGGATTATATACACTTACAGATAAAGTTAATTCTTCATGTTCAGGCTTCACAACTGATTTTTCTCTATCTACAATGCTAAATCCATAGGCTTCCTCCAAAGTAGAAACAACCTATGAGTAAATCAAAGCAAATTTTTATTTTAATAATTTTATGTAAATTATATGTAAATTTATTAAGTGTTAAAAAAAAACACTTAATCAAACATGTCAGGACCTTCTTAGCAATAAGACTTCTTTCTACCAGTGCCATAAACTTAAACTTTCCATCTCACATCCCATCTCATATCACCCTGAAGAAATAATAAGAAACAGTCCTCAACTCTACTCTGTAAGAAAGTCCCTATGACTCCCATTTCTGTGTTCATAGGCATGTAAAAGGCGATCTATGAATAGTTGAAGCATCAACTCCACTTATCACCAAAGTATTTCCTCAAAATCTGAGGGACTCAAATTTCTTCTTTGAAAAGAAGCGGACAAAATAGAAATGTAAACTAGACAGCAATAAATTTTTTAAGGAAATTCTCTGAGCTAACCCTTCAAACTTTGAACAAACTTGTATTTTGGAAATTTCACAAAACTATATTCTTTTTATATTTGTGCTACCTCCCTCATTGGTCTCATTTGGTATGTGGTACATTCATAATTCAATTCGGGATCACTGTGCAAAGAGAAACTCAGAAAAAAAGGAGATTTTTTTTTTTTCCCAACACTAAGAGCTAAAGTTTCTAAAGTGCTGAGAAGAGTTAACATAGCAGGAATGAGCCAGAAAGGACTATCATTAGAAAGATCTGCTTTCAAGGTTGGCCTTAGACTGCTGCCTCAGAACTTGGATTTCATGAGTGTTCCCATCATTCACTGATTACAGTGGCTCATTGTCCTTAAACTGTTTGTACAAACAATGTGGTTTATGCTAAACATCTGCTTTCCTTCAATGTGGTTTATGCTAAACATCTAACTCCCTCTCCTTCAGGGAGTGTGGAATTTTGGTACATGCTAAGCAAAATACCTAGATGAGCAACCCCCAATAAAACCCTGGGCACTGAGTCTCTAATGAGCTTCTCCAAAAGACATTTCACATGTGCTGCCATAATTTGTTGTTGGAGTAATTAAGCACATCCTGTGTGACTTTAAAGTAAGAGGAATCTTGGACCTAGTTTCCTCCAGACTTCACTCCAAAAGCCTTTTCCTTTTGCTGATTTTGCTTTGTATCTTTTCACTGTACTAGATCTTAGCCATCAGTAGGTCTATATTTTGAGTCTAGTGCACCTTCCTAGCAAATCTCTAAGCCTAGGGATGGTCATAGAAACCCTAAACACAGGGACCAACAAGTGTCTTACCATATTTAGATGTTTGGTAATTTTCCTGATCAATTCATCTTCTGCTATTAACTCCTTTGTCTTACTCGATGCAATGGGCAAAGCATATCTTACGATGGATTCCCCTGCTGGTGGAGATCCTAAGACCATTGGTTCAAGTTTATCATGTACTAATTTTGCACTATGTTTTTCCTTTGGTTTAGGTGACAACGGTGAAGTAAATATTCCTTTTTTGTAAGTTAAATCTGGAACATTTGCCAATTTATTACTAGAGGCTGACAGATGTTTTGCGGACTTCATTTTGTTATTTTACTTCACTTCCAAATTATAGGTGAAAAAATTGTATTCCTCCCTGTAAATAAAACATTAAGATTTCAGATTAAAAATTAGGGCAGGATTACCAATTGCAGTGAAGATGGTGAATACCAAAACCAGCACTGCAGAAATCACAAAATGGAGAGGAAACCATTCCTAACAACAAATAACAACAAAAAAATTTTAAAAAAAGAAAAAGAAAAAAAAGCCTGTGAGAAATCCTTAAAGGTGACTGAAGGCTGATTTATGTATGAGTATTTAGGATGGGGAGTTTTATATCTATCATTACTTGCATAGGAATAATAGCCTAGACCCAGGGTAACAACAGAGTAATATCAAGGCAGCACCAAAATCATGCTGGGTCCCCCCAAAAAATATATTCAAGTTCTAACCCCTGGCACCTGTGAATATGACCATATTTGAAAATACCATTTTTGTAGATGTAACCAAGTTAAGATGAGGTTATACTAGATTAGAGTGGGCCCTAAATCCAATGACTGGTATCATTATAAGAAAGCCAAATGAAGACAAAGATACACAGATGTATAGAGAAAAAGGTCATGTAATGACAGAGACAGAGACTGGAGTAAATCAGCTACAAGCCAAGGAACGTTAAATTTTCCCAGCATCCTTGCTAGGAAAAAGCAAGGGAAATTCTTCTTTCGAAACTTTAGAAGGAGCATTGCACTGCAAACACTTTAATTTCAGACTCTTAGACTCTGGAACTGTAAGAGAATAAATTACTATTGTTTCAAGCAACCTAGTTTGTGGTATTTTGTTATGGCAGCCCTAGGAAACAAATACACACAAAAAAATTTCCCTAAATTTGATGGGAGGGACATAAACTGTGGCCTGTTTTTTTATCATTTCATAATAACAGATTACTAGACAAGAGTAGCTGACACTCCCAAAGACATATGAGTTCACAGGCAAAAATAACTTGACACCTGAAAAATACAAGCTTTGCAAAGGAAAAGAAAGAAAAAAAGAAAGAAAGAAAGGAAGAAAGAAACAAAGAAAACTAAAAGAAAAGGTCCAGAGGCACCTGGCTAGCTCAGTCCGAAGAGCATGAGACTCTTGATCTCGGGGTTGTAAGATCAGGCCCCATGTTGGGTGTAGAAATTATATAAATACATACATATATGCATATATACATACATATATACATGCTTTTTAAAAAAAGTTTTAAAAAAAAGACAAACCAAAAATATACAAATACACACAAACAGAATATTAGCAACACAAAACAGGTACATGAGTATTTTTTTAAAGACTGAAGTAGAAATACTACAAACGAAAAATGTAATAAACATAACTGATCACAGAATAATACTGCTGAAGAATAAATTAGGCAAATGAAGATCAGAGTGAGATATTCTGCCAGAAAGCAGCAGAAAACGATAAAGAGATAGAAATGAAAAAGAAAATAAGAGATACATAGAAGAATTATACAAATATCAAAAACCAGATAAAAGAAGATCCAGTGAGGAAAAAAAATATGAAATGGACAGGAGGAAATATTTGAATAAATAATAAAGATAAATTTCTCAGACTTAAGGATAGTGGAAAGACAGATCAAAAGTGTTCACAAAATACCAAAAAGGAAACAGATAAACAACAAAACATAATTAATGAAATAAATATAAAAGCCTCAAAAAGAAAAATTTGAAAGTTTTCAGAAGGAAAGAGCATATAACCTAAAAAAGAGGAAGAATTCAATTGCCACCAAGTTTTAAATAAAATTTCTTCTTAAAGGAATCTATATTTTGTCTAAATTGCAAGCTCTTTGGATGCAGAGTCTAGCTGAAGAATAAAAATGGATGCAAAGATTAGCAGCATTTATCACATATTCTCAAACATGAATAAAGTAAAATACACATCATCAGTAAGTATTAAAAATTAATATATTTTAAAGAATTTAAATTCCCAATCCTATGAAAATTGGGAAAATATAGGCCTGCATTTGTTGACAATATATAAACATGATTAAATTTTTGGAGAAGTAGTACCTAGTATAGAGAGGGTCATCTAATAAATTTTAATAGACTAATAATAGATATTTTTTTATTTGGCATAGAAAAAGTCAATGGCATCCTGTTAGCACATTTATGCAAAATAAAATATCAACACCAAATAATAGACTATTTTAGGAAGTAAAATAAAAACCAAAAAATAAATATTATATGATACATTATAAATGAAATCAGTTACAATAACATTTTTACAAGCTAATTATTTCTCAATTATTTCGGACACAATCCCTAAGGTTAAACCACAGAAAGCACATAAAAATTATTGATATAATTGTGGATTTCCAAAATGCAAATATTTCTATATGTGAACATGTATTAGGATTTTAACCAAGAGATGACACAGCTGGAGAAGAATCTACTGTTTAGATTACTTACAAAAAAAAATTAAAAAATATATATATCACATTATATATATATATATATACACATATATATAACAGCAATACAATGCCTCAAATACATATGAGAAAAAACAAACAGAAAATACTCAAAAATGAAAAATCCGTAATATTTTGCACAATTCATCAAGACTTTTTTTTTAACTTGGTAGTGAATGATAGAGCAAAAATATCTTCTGACAACACTGAAAATTTTTCATTCTCAAACTGTACAACTGCTTTATTGTTGTAATGAAACACTACATAGTTAATTGAAAACGTTGTCAAACATAATTTTTATATCATAGTCAAATAAATATTGGGAAAGATTATTTGATGTCATGTCACTCAAAATTCATTTGAAGAATGCAATGGTTTTGGAAACTGTTGACAATAATAAATATATACATTGTAGAACATAAGCCAAAGTCCCCAGTTGGAAAATATATCCATTTATATTTTTCTAATATTAATAGTGGCATAATATTTTAAATAAAGGTAATATAATAAGTGATACAGAAACTAAAATTTAATTTACAAAATTGAAAAGCATCAAAAGAATTTCAAAGAAATTATATTGCCAAAGACAATGCATCAAAAGCATCAGGTCTGAGAGAAAAGGACCAGCAAAAAAGACTTAAGAATGATTGATCAATGAGCCAGAAGGTAAAACCAGGGGAGGATGTATTGAAAATAAAGTGAAAAAAAAAAAAACAAAAAAAAACTTACGACTAAATGATGAACTGCGTTAAATGTTGGGCAGGTAAAATGAGGACTAAGAATTAACCACCGGATTTAGCGACAAGGAAGTAGGTCATTTGTGACCTAAAGGATAGCAACAGTTTTAAGAATGACGGAGGTGAATGCCTGAAATATGGGCAAAAGGAAGATTTTTTAAGAGAAAAGTAACATGTTTGTATGCTGTTGTAGGTTGAATTATGCCCTCTCCCCCCCAAAAATATGTTCAAGTCCTAACCCCAGAACCTGTGAATGTGACCTTATTTGTTAATAAGATCTTTGTAGATGGAACCAAGACGAATTCAAACTGGACTGGAGTGGGCCCCAATCCCAATGGTGTGCTTCCTGGAAGAAACTCAGACCTACAGGCGCATGGGGAGACCACCGTGTGAAGACAGAGGCAAAGATGAGAGCAAGGAGTCTAAGGGACACCAACTGGCAGCGGCCACCAGAAGCTGGGAGGAAACACGGAACAAATCCTCCCCGAGAGCCTCCAGGAGGAACCAGCACTGCCACACTCTTCAGACTTCAGCGTCCAGAAATAGAGGATAAATTTTTGTTTTAAGCCACCCAGTTTGTGGTACTTGTTTAGGCAACCCTGGGAAATTAATACATATGCTGATGGAAATGACCCAGTAGAAAGCAAAATGTATTGATTGGTATGGAGGGAAACTGCTGGAATGATATCCTTGAGTAAACAAGGGGAAATAGGTTTTAATGCATAAATGCTCCCGTGCACTTAAGGCAGGACCAGGGAAACTTCTGCGGTGACAGACAGGAAGGCAGAGACGCCCGCTACTTCAGGAAACCAATTGAGAAAAAGACGGGCCGCGCACCAGGTGCAACCAAACAACCTAATAAATGGACCCATGAGGTTCACACGCGTATAAAAATAAAGGTTACATGGACTAAACGCTTGTATTTACAAGAAATATTTAGGGATTTTACGTATTTTCTTCATTTAATCCTAACTATCCTAGGAGGAGTAGATCACCACAAATTTGCCCAAGTTTATCAGTCACCTTCTACCACAAAGAAAACGTTTTCTGGTCTCCCTTCAAGGATTCATCTCAAACGCTTTAATGATACAGTACACAACGAAATGGGGGAGGGGGCGACATAGGGCAGAGAAGAAGCTAGGATTATCGTCTTATATTTCGCATCAACAGAGGCACAGCTGCCGCTTTTGCCAGAGAACACAACAGAAACCCTCACACTCCGCGGAGGGAAGGACCGCAGGCGCCTCCCCTCCCAGTGGCTAGAATACCTGCTGAGGCCGCTGGAAGCCAGGTTACTGGGCGGTTTTGCCTTGGCCAAGCGGGCTCTAAGGTGAAAGAGTTGGAAATGCCGAACCTCCCAGACTTCCTTCAAGGCGGAAGCCTGCAAACCCTTCAGACTCCAGCCTTGCTATTTTACAAACTGACATTTGGGCGGAAAGGCCGGGCCTCTGCGCCCCGAGGCGGCGGCAACGACCGGCCGGGCGTTAAGCCGCGAGGTGGGCGGTTGACGCCGCGTCACCGACGCCCCCGCCGCGCGCCCCCGCCCCGAGAGACCCGCGCCGCGCGCCCCCGCCGCGCGCGATCCGCCACCGCTCTAGGAGCCAAAGCCTGAACCGACCGAGTCTTTCCCGGAACTGAAGGCTAGAGGATTTTCGGCAACTGTGGAGCCCTACGAAGTAATACAGTCCAGACTGCGCTTTCTGTGTTTCTTGCTCCCTGGGCTGTGTACTTCCCTCCAGGACGCTGCACAAGTGAGATTCTTTTAGGCATTTGGCCTAAAGAAATAAAACAGGGGCCTCTTTGGTGCTTGGAGAACTTGGGCTTCATCACCAGCAAAA